GATTTTTCTCAATTATACCAAGTGGCCTAATAAGAGAGATTATCTCTCCCCGAGAACCTTGCCTCTATAATGGCAAAACACACTGGAATACCTCCCCACCTATTACAGATGGAGGGAGGAAGTCTTCTCTTACCATACTAACAACCTGGAAATTAGAGATGTAAAACTGAACCACAGCAACTACAGGAACTGACCACAACAGACCATTTCTCCTTAGTTTGAGAGCAAATATGGCTCAGAAGCACCACCGTGTAAGGAGACACAATGCTTTAAAAGAAAGTGATTGAAATCTCTTGAATTGAGTCAAGGGAAAAAACCCAATAATTAATAGAAATAATGTTCTTGTCATGCTGCCTTAATAATTAAGTATATTTTAAATGCAAACTACCTGTGCTGAAGTACATGTATAGATTCTTGGTGTGTTTAATGAGAAATGGCCAGTGAATGTTCAGGCCTGATTTTCTAAGGAAGCTGATGCACCTGACATTAATTTCAAGTGTTGACATGTCTCCTGCACTTCAGCTGGTGAGGGTCACACAGAACCTCACTATGGATGAGGGTCCTGGACAAAAGGGGCCCATTTTCACAGTCAGAGGTGCAAATCTGAGCCTGCTCTCAAGGCTAGAACTGCTTGTCATGTAAGCGTGTGCTCTGGATCAGGCTGGAGCTCCCAAAGGAAAGCTTGGCCTGACTGGTGTCTTGATACAGTCCAAGCTTTTGTTCATGTGTTCTGGGCAGACAGGAATGGGCAGGACTGAGCAAGCTCACTCTAGCACCAGGGGCAGAGATATTCTAAGGTTGAGCTTTCCTAAACAAAAAGGGTAAGCATTTTGAACCAAAAGAGTGCTCGCTGTTAACCTCACAGTGTAGCTACAGCAAGAGCAGCTGGGCGACTTGCCCAAGATGATGATGAGGAACCTCAGCAAAGCGAGCCAACAATCCTTCCCTTAAGAGTCTAACAATGTTTATATCCATCTCTGCTGGCAGAGATTGCACTGGAGCACTGTAGGACTGAAGTGTTGTGAGTTAGAATGGGGTAATACAACCTTACTCCTTCTGGAGGACCTGCAGGAAAGGCATCTAAGTAGCCATTTCACATACCTGGAGCTGCTTCAGTAGTTTCCAGCAGGCAGGAGGCAAAAGAGAGGACAGAGAGTTAGGGAAGGCTTCTGACTTACACAGAGATAAGGAGAGTAAAGACTGGGATGGTGACTGTGTAGTCAGCAAACAGCGTGCTCAGAGTATGCAAAAGTCAGAGGATAATTATCTGCCACAAGTAGTTGAATAAACACTAGGAAGAGACCTACAAAAGCATAGAAAGCAATCTAAACAGAGAAAACTGCTCAGGGATTTGAACTGCTTGCTTTAAGTCTGACAAGCTAATGCTGAGTCTTTATTAAGTGTAATTAATGATAACAAAGCTCTTCCTAGAAAAAATTCTACTTGCAACAAAATCTACAGCTTTTATAATACAGTTTTTCGCTCCTAAAACTGGTATTATGAGCTGACTGCACTGCAGCCAGTACCCACATCGCTAGGTTATGATGCCCTTGAAGATGAATCATCACAGACAGTTACACAGTCACTTCCAAAGCTCTAAAAAACCACGTACAAACCTTTCCTTGAGAAACGGCAATGTAAAAATCCTTACTGAATATTAGCATTCCTAGCATTTATCAAGAATTTTCAAGTTTTATGAAAAACAGAGAAACTGAGGATAAAATTCTTGAATTATAGTGACTTGAGAACTTCAGCTTCTTGTTCTGGTCTCAGTCAGAGAGGGGAGAGCAGAATTCAAGTCAGAAAAAACACACGTTTGCAGTTTATCTAAGTAACAGATTCCAGCAGAAGTAGTGGCACACAAAACTACCCACACAGGCACTTCATCCAGATCCCAGAGAGGCTTTTGCTGATGGTCAGAATCACTCACCGCTAACAAGAACGCCAAGGAGAACTAACCTGATTGCCTGGTTTCATTTTGCTTGACTATAGACCAAGCAGAACATTTCTTTTTCCACCTACGTGAAACACAGACCCTCAGACAGTAATTTCTCTGAGTTGCTTCTGATCGAAGCTCTAGCGGAATCAGCAGCCAGAGGCTGCAGTTCCACTCCACATAAACTTTTCAAAGGCTTTGTATAAAGCTACTTCAAGAATCTGTAAGGCAATAACAAGGAAGGATTTTTCTCATACAGTACTTTTTTCAGTAAATAATCCTTAATTTGCTCCCTTAAAGCAGTATGTTTTCTCAACAAGACACTGTCCTCTTTCAATACCCTTGAACAATAACAGGGTCTTCTTACTTTCAACGTTATTCAGATAATTCCAGCATACCCTTCTGAATAAAGGCAACTAAGGAAAGGTTAAGATACCTTGCAGTAGTGTTTCCGTGGCGAAGCGCTGCTTTATGATCTGCCTGTCTTCCACTTCGCTATCGGATCCTTCATCCTCTTGAATCTCTATGTCAGAATCATCATTATCTGGATAAAACAAAAACAGATGATAAATATCACTCAAATCAACCCGTAATGCAGAATAGCACCTGGACAGGAGAAATGCTAGCAGTCTCTACCTTTGTTCAAGTCCAAAATTAATTAAAAATGCAGTCGCAGACAGAGCATTGGCTCTACTGACGAGCACAGGGAAATAGCCAAGGTCTACATCCTAAGGAAGGCATCCTACACCCAAGTGCCAAGGAAGCATACAATATAAACAACTGTCTTGGGACAATCCTCAGATTGTACCAGAAAGGCGCCATTCTGAATATACTCTTTGGGTATGAAGCATATGTACAGTCAGAAGATGCCATTTCAGCAACTGATTTAAAGATTAAAATCTTTTTTAAAAGCGTTTGGAAAGTGTGGGCTTATTAATACATCTCCTAGTCTTTTATCCCGACATAAGCAACATCAAAACCCATCCACTTAGACTCTTTGCCTTTCATTGAATCATAGGTTAGAAAAGCAAAGTGAGACATCCCCGGATAAACAAAAGCAATCGCAGCCAAACCTAAGATGCCTGGTGAGACAGGAAAGCTTCCCAAGATGCAGGAACTTCTTCAAATATTTTCATAACCTGCCTTTGTTTTCGTCTTCCTACCCAAACTAAAATCTATTTAGTCCCTTACTCCCAGTTCCCCAGTCACTAAACTGGAACAAACCTAAAGGACTTAAATTGTCCTTCAGATGTTTGAAAGGATGACAAAAGTCTTCAGATACTTAAAAGTGCCTGCAAAGAGAAGGGCAGACTGCTCTCCATGTCGGCTGTACGAGTCCTACCTCGAGACTCACACGCATGGTCAACCAAACTGAGTCTCCTCTCAGCCTATTCCAAAGTAAAACAGCTGCTGGAAAGTTGGCGCAGAAGTGCGTGGAAGGTTTGGAGCAGGTTCTGCTCCTTTTAAGTCTCTCCTATCCCATGAGCTTTTTCCCCTCTCTCCTTGTTCACGCCAGCCTGCTCGTGCGAGCTCCTTGGCTTACTAAGACCAAGCTCTGCTTTCAGCTCTTAGCGATTATTTACTTCCCTCTCCAAACATTCAATCACTGAGTCAGATCCTCAGCTCCTATCATCTTATGAACTCTTCCCACTCGCGTAGAATCCTACAGCTCAGCGCTGATGCTGCATGGCAGCCTGCCTGCAGGAGCTTATGGAATTAGCAGCGCTATGACAAACCCAACAGGACCCCGTGTGAGGTCAGCACCCGGTGCAGCAACAACAGCGGTTAATTATTTAGAGAAAATAAGCAATTCTTTCCCAGGTACATTTAATTACACACATGTCTGAACTGAAAATGGAAATAACTACCTTAATTATGATTAGTAATGAGCTGACACATCTTTGCAATATTTAATTATCAGACAATATACAAATATTAGACATTTTTCCATAATCTTTTTTCATTATGGTATTAAGTTAATGACAAAATACAACGGCAATGGGTGTATTTGATACCCTGGTAAGATTATGAGGCTCCAGCAATGTTAGCTACAATTTCTATTTGTGTTGCACTTTCTTCTTTGGCAAGTGAAGGAATCACTCGCTGCTGTGTGACCTGAATACTGTTTCTGTTTACCTGGTGTTCAGGAAAGCGAGGTTTTGTTCAGCCCTTGCACAGGCAAACTCCTTGGGAAGAGTCACGTGGAGCCTAAAGAAAGGATTCAGGATCGTGCTCTGTATGTTAAAGAGTGAGATTATCTCATCTGTGATGGCTCTCACTGCTACTACTAAAACCACCCTTGTTCTTATTTTGTGTGTGTGTGTGGCTTCTGTCTTCTTTTTCTTTTCTTTTTTGGGCAGCAATTCCTCCCTTTCAGGTTTTGTCATTTGTGCTCCTCCTGTTAGGCAGCACCACTGGCCAGAGCCCTTATGATTACTTTGCCAAACCATTTCCATTTCATCCCCATTAGCGCTTTCTGCTTCTCACTGGGATCTCCTGAGCAGGAGCTGCCAGCTGAGATGAGGACTAATGGAACCAGTGCTCTCCGCTGACAACCCGAAGTGGCAAACCCAGCTAACACCACTTTGGGGACCGGACTTACAGCAGAGAGGCATGGCGATGCAATCCTGCTCTAGTTAGGGGCACGGCTGTAACAACACGGGGCTTAAATTTTACATTTCACTTTTCTGGAAACCTTTTTCTGAAACCTTTTGTGGTAACAGACTCTCAGATAGAAGATATAAAATGTACGTGGCTCACGTACCTAGAAGTGCTCTTTCCTAACTACCCTCGCTGATGGCTTAATGCCCTCCTGAACCACACGAACCCTTCCAGCTCCCCGTAGCGCACTCCTGGGCACTCCAGCCATTACTGACCCATTTCAACTTGCAAAAAGGAAGCTCATTTCATCATATAGTTCCCCACAGTATCTTGCTGTTGGAAAGTGGGACTTGCAGGAAGATCCCACGGTGAGTAAGTGCCTTGCAATAGAAGTGATACCTACTGTGGAGAGAGAATCAGGGGCTGGAGGGCTCCAAGCTGCTGCTTTATGAAAGGAAATGGTTTAAACACAGATTTTTTTTTCCCTTCCCTCACCCAGCCCTCTTCTTCTTTCCCTCAGGTTCTCTGCTACCCTCAACCCTCTCTTTCTCATACTATTTCTTTTATCCTTCTCCCCCACTAACTCAGATGATGTAACCGTCACCTGTGAGTGAGGAAGTCGCGGTTTTCTGCACACATGTGGATGCCACGGAATACCTCTGGCAAGCCCCAGAAAAGCGTGCCTTGTTCCCCAGCTCTACCTCTTGCCTTTCAAAGCATGCTTGACAAGCCAAACCAGTAGCAACTGTACGCCTAACTTTCATTTATGCCTTTAAAAATCCTGGATTACCTTTCAATACAAATGAAGAGAAGATTCATCAGGTAAATTATCGGCATGTAAGCACAGTATGTCACTTTTCCTACCGAGTTGTGACTTTGAAACAAATCTTGTTATGGATCTATGGCGAGAGTTTGGATTTTCTTTGAATAGTCCAACTGGAATTCTGAAGCACATACCCCAACATGAAGCATCACTACAGTGAATGCACACCACAGGATCAGAAAAGTGGCAGCTGCAAATGGGATTCAGCAACAGTAAAATTTCTGTCTCCCAGCCTCCTGTCCGCCGCTTGGAAAGACATCGAGCTCCTTTTTCACTTACCAAAAAAATAAATGTATTGCTCTAACTCAGCTCAATGGCTGCTATCACCAAGCCCGGCTCTGTCTGGTATACAATCCAAGTTATTATCAGCTGAGCCAAAATCCCAAGGACACAGAAGCAGAGCACATCGGTGAAAATTCATTTAAATGCACAAGATAAAGACAAGCTGACACCAGGCTTCTCAGCAGGATTAAACAACAGACAAGTCTAATGCTGTGTGTGACCCATCCTAGCTAGAGCACTGCAGGGTTCCACCATCCTGCATCCCTTGTTGTACATGCCCAGTGCATCCAGTTTTCAAGAAAATATTCTTAGTATTCATAAAAACGTGACAATTCAGAAAGTTTCAATTAACAACATATAGAAGGAAACTACTTGTTGTCCTAGGAGAAGTCACAACCACATCTGGGTAATACTGCATAACAGAAATTACAATTGTGGGGAGACAAGGAACATTCTTCACAGAGAAAATGTAGATTTTTTTTTTTCTTAGTATCAGCATAAAGCAACAAAGATAATCAAGTATACTACTACAATTTCCCATGTACTAGTACACGGAGTACAGCACACATTCTAATGGAGCTGGCTTATGAGATTTACATGGGTTTACGTGAAGATTATTTGACTTTTCACAACAAACTGCTATTCAGTAATACATGTGCCCAACTTTAGGCCAACGCTGGCAGCTTACTGGAGCTTAGGGCTAGTATTTTAACAAGATCCTGTAACTTTACTATGAAAAGTCAACAGAACAACTCTATAAACTGTGTTTGGCCCATTTCCCCACTGCTGTGATTTACTTTACTGCACAGAGAACACTGGCAAAATATCAGACTACCTGAGAGAGAACATACTGAGATTTTTAAACTCCACTTGCCTTACATTTCAACACTTCCATTTCATAAAGGTGGGTTTCGGTCAACTAAAGTAGTTTCATTTAAAGCAGTCCAGCCACAAAAAGTACATCCTGGTTACAACTGAAAACCACTACTCTCAGAAGATGCGTTATTTGTTCCAGAGCAGATACCTGGACTGATAATACTATATTTAAATGATTTAATTTTTGGTAATTTGCAATGCTTGAAGGAAAACCAGCATGATTTAATAACTTACCAGTGATTTCATTACAGATTTGTTAGTTTGCATAAATATTCAAGTAAATGTATCCAACCGTAAAATAAGAAGGTGCTGTGGTGAGGATAATGAGCACGAAGGACATTGTTTATTGATATGCTGTAGAATTAGATGTAAGTGTTGTTTAGCATGTCCAATTTCATAATAAAAATCACTGCTTTGAAAACACAGGCACTGGCTCCACAGTAATTACTGGATTCAGGAGGATTGGTGAAAAAAACATCATGAGAAAAATCAAGTGGGCAAGTGACAGCCATTTGATCCAAAATAAAATCCATTTAATTATTAGAACAAAATTTTAGAACAGGGGAAAAAAAAAAAAAAGAGGGGGGTGGATTTAATGTGACTGAAGGGAGAGTGAAGTTCTGTGCCCACTTGAAACCTCAGTTCTACCAAATCCATGCTCTTGTCTCACCAGACTCAAGAGCATCAGGCTGTATATCAGCTGTATATCACCCTGAACACTTAGATATTCACAGGTCTGCAATCTGAACAGAAAGAAACGCTTTGATATATAAATTTCAGTAGGGAACATCCTTTGTCCTTAGCACAAAACTGAGATCCTTCATCTGATCTCTAAGAAAAAATTCATCATGGTACTGAGTGCTACTGATCTCAGTCCGGATACTTGTGGCTCCTACCAACTTCAGCAGACAGCTTGGATGTTCAGACCCGTGCATGCTAAAACTGGGCAATAACATACAAAAACCACCAACCAGTAGGTTGCAGAGGTAGACCTAAGTGCACTTTCGTACCTTGCTTAATCAGTTTAAAATGGTCTATTGTTACAGTAATCCAAATTCAGATTTTTAGCAGTAAGGATGATTAACTGCTGCCCAGGGAAGCAATAGGTCTCTGTCACTTGAAATAATTAAAAATAACTCCCGACGACAAGCTCCATTTAAACTGGGATTTGTAGTCTTGGCACAGGAATAAGTGGCTAAGTTATTTTTTGGCCCATTTTATAGAGAGGTCGTATTCAATGACCATAAGTATTTCTAAAGATCTTAAAAGCCAAGAATCCATCAAAGTACTATTAATTTAGAACATGAATTTGCAATTATTCAACAAGCCAAACACAAGACTATAGCGGACAAGTTCCAAGTGTCTGTTACGAGAAGATGGACAGTCTGAGCATCCTGCTGGTGACAGCGCTGAGCATGAGCAGTATCACCCAGGCATCTCGCCCTTGTGGGAATTACCCAGCGACTCACTGCTACACTTCAAATGCCGCAACTGTTGCAACCGGGCTTTTTATTTATCTGCATCAGCTTTTAAAGCATCAATTCTGGAATAGGAAGGGTAGAAGAGATTCGACGCAGCACCGAACTGCAACAGCATCATGCTATTTGCTGTTCAGAGTACATCATCTATTTGCTCTGTTTAATTGAGCAAGACGATAGAGCTAAGCACATTTTGCTTGGCTGTCAGAAAAGAAAGAGTTACCTTGGCAAGTAGAACTGGCCAAGGAAATGCTTTGGTTGTGTATCCAGCAGAAGTGAAGCTCTCCCAGAGCATCAGTTAATCCTGTTGCTGTTGCAAATCTGTATTTCAGTCTAGAAACATTTCCACTTGTTACTTTTTTGCTCAGCAAACATGTTTTTTCAACCTTGGATGAACCTGAAAAAAAAATCTTGAATTTCTGCCATGGTCGGTAACCTTCCTACCCCTCTCCTCTCACACCGAACCATTATCAGAGCAACTCTTCACATATCTACACCTGACAATAGTTCTATCAACAGCCTTCACAGTGCTCATCCGAGCAGTGTCTAATGTAGTATTTTAAGAGTCACTGTTCCATTAAGCACAAGGAAACCGAGCCCTACGTTTCAGTCAATTGGCATTTGTGACTTTGCACCAACCTTGGATGTGCCACAAGGGCAGCACGCAGTGTGAAAAACACCACATCGTATATTGGTTTCTCTAAGAGCACCTTATGTGAAATAAAGATTAGAAAAATAACAGCAATTTACTTACCACTCATCACAAAAAACATTTCTGTGCTGCTGCAAATACTTAATTGCATATATTTTCATCACGTAAATAACACTCAAAGCCTGATCTGTGTCCAGAGTTCAACATCCTCACATAATTCAAGAAAGGGTTTTCATAGGAGTTAGTGTTAGCTTTTCTTTTTTTTTTTTTTTTAGCATAGTGGTTTGATGGGGATGCTCTATCAGAAATAAAAGATGATTTGCAATGTATGCTAGCAAAAGAACGAACCAGGCTGTTTCTGAATTACGCTAAACATTTTTGCCAATTTTATGCAAGTATAGCTACATAGCTACAGGCTTTCTATATTCTTAATGCAGACTTGCACAATTCGACCTACATTTCACAGCTCTTCTTTACAAAAATATGATTTAGGTTTTCCTGGTGTTAGTCCAGCCTGAAACTCAACTGAGAGCTGTCCAGAATTCCCGCAACTCCTGCTGCAGAGAAATGAACTGTTAATTTGCAACCCTTCTTACCAAATTAGCGGGAGATAAGGTCAAAGGATCCAGACGATAAGAGAACTGCATCAATTACGAAGGTAGGAAAAGGTAAGAGTGCTTACAGGGGCAGAATGGATGCTGACTTTTATCAGCTAATGGAAACAAATTTATCACCAGATTCCAGCCTATGCTGTTAGAAGAGCCTCATTAAGTGTTTTGCAGCTCCCAGGGGCAAAGTGTAATGAGAATTAGACAACCTTCCCCTCCTTTGCAGGGGGCACTGGCTCCGTGCTACCCCTTTGTGTAGGAACACGATGAATCTGCCCAAATGAAGCTCACTCCACACCCCCCCACCCCTCCCACCCTGACCTTCAAGATTCGGCCGGAGAGTCTTAGGATACTGGGAGCCACCAGGACAGCCTGCCTGCCTTCCACTGAGCAGAGGGGGAGAAGCAAATCCCTTCGTCTCCAGAACCCTTTGCACGAGCAAGACCAAGTCAGAGCAGTGTCTGCTTTAACAGCCCTGTGGGCTGGCACGACATATTTGCTGGGTTGAAGGCCCAGACAAGTCCTAAATTTTTTTACAAACTGAAGATGGAAGACAACTTAGGATAAAAGCACTTTGTTTTGTGTGAGGGGTAAAAACGCAAGTGGAATAAGCAAGAGTTTTTTCTTTCCAAAACCTACTTTAGAAAGACATTTCTGATGGCAAAGAAAAGCCCATCTTTAATCTTCCTTGTGTCTGTCTCATTAGCAGGGCACATCCCATCTTAGAAGGAGGAAACAGTATGTAGAATCCCCAAACACAGGTGAAAGAAGGTAAGGTAAGCACTTTACACCATTTCCCCACTATACACACACAATGCTCCCAGTACTCCTTGATGAATTCACGGACTGCTCTCGGGAGAGCAGAAACTCCATCCTTTATCGTGCTTCCTATTTCCAATTGAATTTCACAATTAACCCTTGGGGCGGTTTGGGCAGAGCTCTTCAGTGATGCTGCACTGATTCTGCTGCTGTTTCTTTGTTTCCTCTTGTGCAAAATAGCTATTTTTCTTGTGACTAGGATTGTTCTGGGATTAATGTAACCACGCTGTAAACATTCCCCTAATGGAGCACTATGCCATTTAAGACACCATTCTCTTAATCAAAGCAAATCTTTTGGTTTTGAATTGTGTAAAGGGCATCATTTAACTAATAATGAGAGGAGGAGAGTGGGGTCTGGTCTAAGGGGAAAGCACAGCCTGGTAGCTGATCATTATATGTTAGTAAACCGTGGTCTCAGAGAGCTTTACAACATTCAATAAATTAACCTTACGGCATGCAGTAATGAAGCCATGCTCCACGCTCGTGACTGGGGAAAACAAGCCACCGAGAGCCAAATTTATTGTCTCAGTTACACCTCTGCAACTCTGGAGACTTCCACGCCGTGCGCAGATAAAGGCAGACAGATGCTGACAAAGATGACTTGATTTTCCAGGGTTATGGGACAGTCAATAAATGAGCCAGCACTGAAAACCAGGATCCGGGTGCTCTTACCACTAGAATAAATACTAATTATGACAATTAAGTACTTGAATAAAGGTGTATTATGGTAATATTTTTAAGTCATTTAAAGTCATAATCATATCTTGTTAGCTGGCAGTTAAATCACTTGCTAAAAGGCAAAGTTCCTATTATTTCAGAGATGCAAAACGACTGAATAGTTTTCCACAGACAAGGAGAAAACAGATCAGCAGATTTTCAAGTTATACTACACACTGCTAAGTACTGACTATGGATGTTCTTCTCCTCTTGAACTTAGTTGCCCTGGAAGCTGTCAGATAGCAAGACTTGGACTTTTTCACTCAAGTAAATCCTTGAAATAATTCCATATTCTTATAATTTATATTACAAATCTTATGTTTCAGCTAAAACTTCTTCACTTTTTACTGGAGTTAGCATAAGAAAATGAGATCAAAGATGGGCAGAAATGAGTGAATTTCATCTTTCGTGAGCTTGCTCTGAAAATCTCTGCCAGCAAACAAACTGCAAAGTGCAACTTTTATGTCCTTACTCAATTTCAGCTTTCATGAACTCTCCCTCTGATCCTGAGAATTAACTTCCCTCCTATTTTCTCCCACTACTATATAAAAATGCGTATATTGCAATATTAAATTCACAGGGGTAATTAATGAGGAAGTTCTTGCTGACACATGGCTCAAAAGGAGCAAAATCTGGTTTGTTAGCTTTCTGCAAAATCTCAAGAGGTTATTATTCCCTTCTGATCCTCAGCTAGAATTCTAATTAATTAAGAGTAAGTTTAGGGGGAAAAAAAAAAAAGATAACCCCACAAATTTTAATTGCATTCATATTTTACAGATAAACTAAAATCAAGCAAATGCAAGCAGGCAAACGTGGACCCTGCTTTGAAGATGAGTGATATTAAAGAGGATTTCAAGCTGAGAGTTTTTCATCTGTGAAAGTTATGATCTGATAGACACATCACAAAGAATTAATCTGAACACATAACTGAACTCTACGCCATGCAATGTGGTAGACTAACTGCTGAGGACAGAAATTATACTCCAGTTTTGCAAGGCACATCAGGACATGTGTAATAGGAGGCAGCCAAACAGTCCCACAAACCAATGACACTACTCACCTACACACAAGCATTTTTACTGTCTAGAATCCTCTAACCAAGTTTGTTTGCAAACCAACCTTTCATCAGCAACCCCATCGTGTGCACAGCCAGCCTGTGTGGGCTTGGAGAATAGTAAAATCAAGCCTAAAATCTGCTCATTGCAATTGTGCAGCGTGTTTAGTGGATGACTGTTTTCATTCCTTGGCACTGCAGGTAAAATTTACAAGGCAGAGGAGCACTTCACAGAGGTTAGGCTCCCTATTTCACTGTTGTCCTTTTAAAGTTGTTATCATTCTGCTTTTTGTAATATAGCCTGTTGACTCTGTCATCTATCCCACGTCCCCTCCGCTTGCAAGTGGATACTTATACATAAAGTAGCCGGCTCTTAACAATTTTTCTGCTAATGCAAGCGGTGAAGAAATCCCACTTACTTCCACTCTTAAGAAGGCGCTGCTCCTCTTCCTTCAGCCTGTTCTGCATAAGGCGCAGCATGTTTGCTGCTTCCTGCAAGAGGTGAAAACAACTGAATTAGAAAAGCTGCCACATTACCCAGTCAAGTGACTAATTGGATGGTCCTACAGCAACAGTTAAGGGCACTCACAGGTAGAATGAGAATAGAAAGTTTCAGCACTGAAAATATTTTATGAAAAAAGGCCTTAATTGAAACGTGGGAGCTCCTACTTACTTTGTCCATGAGGGTCAGGATATAAAGCATGTACCCAGGTGAAATAGCGCACTGAAAAACAACCATATATTCCCAGTGGCTGAAACCTCACTTCTCACATTGAAAATGAGTTCGCTTGTCTTTATCCCACAGAAAATTGCTGCTGTTAGAGAATGGAAGCGGCTTGCTTTGGAAAGCAGTCTTTGGTAGTTGTTTTCAACCAATACTCCATTAAATACCAGAAGTGGTTTGTGAAATGACTGCAGCTTCATAATACACAAACCAAACCAGAATAAATCCACGCACTTCCATGCATGCAAACAAAACAGGAGCAAAAAGCCCTATCGATAAGCTGGAGAAGAATAGCCATATGCTATTACCATACTATTCGGATGCAAAGGAGAACCGTAACAGTAAGGCTGTACAAGGTGGTTTGTTGATTTTCTTTTTTGAATATAGCAGGCTGTTAGATAAAAATATGCTGAGAAACGCTGTTGTAATGACAGTATGATAAAGTTATGACAAATGGAGTTCAGAGCAAACGGGAAAAGGCAGGTAGAACAGCAGTTGCTGTGCTGAAAGAGAGAAGCAAATCACAAGTCTCAACCCATTCAAACGAAGGCAAATGATAACAGAAAATGTTACAAAAAGGCCCACAAGGACTTATAAAACCTAAGTCTTGCACAGTCAACCAAGTAAGAAATGTGACAGCCCAGAAGGCTGATGGTAGCGAGGCAGTTGCGGTTAAGACAGACATTCTCATTCCAGCACAATGGATTAGTAAGAAAACACGGCTGGCTCTCTAGACAGTAACTGATGAGAGTAATTTTAATCTTCTAGGACGGATGCACTTGCAGAGCATCACAGACCTGGTAGACTAAAGGGACTATTTGATTGCTGAACACCACAAAACAATTGTAGGAGGTGTTTTGCTGAGTTCATGAAGTTCTCCATCCAACTGGGACTAAAATTTAGCAAAGATACCAAGACATTGAATTTTAGGAACTAAGGTTTGCTATTCCAATAGCGGCATCAGACAGAAAAATGTATTTTTAATGAGATCTCATTTAAGTTTGGGTAATGTTAATGGTGAATAGCAAAGTAAGCTATCAATAGAGTAGGTAGGGTATGAATGCAGACAACCAGATTCAGATAGAACCTACAATACTAAACAGGTGGCAAACAACTGATGGAAGGATTTAGCCACAAATTTTGCTAGTTTTAGTCTCTTCTACAATTCCAGTCAAGCAAGACAAGTAGATGGGAGTGTTAATTAACTGTGGATTGAACTAAGATTTTTCTGAGCCTTTGATTTTCTATGCAAAATATGCATACAATTAAAAAAATAAAAAAGACACCAGTTGCTCTGTCATGGTCAAATCTGCACACTTACAGCGCGTTTGCAGAAAGGAGATGTGGGCTTAGCTGGAATATCTGTGGAACAGAGGGAAGTAAGAAAAGCATCTGAAAACAGTTGAATGGTGGGCAATCTTTACACTTTCAGACAGAAACGTGGGTCAAAACGTATGGCAATAGCGTGCTAGCTGAGAAAGGAAAATCTCCTCCCACCAACGTGCAGGCAGCAGCAAACCACCAAGTCCCATCCAGCACACGAAGAAGAGGCCTGGCTGGTGTGATGCATCACAACTTGGCGTAAACATCTGTGTCTTGGGAGTTGGAATTCACGCTGAAAAAGCTTGTAGAGATGATGTTGGCAGGTGGTAAGGGGAAGTAACGTATATCCCCTGTACCTGGTAAGAAACCCAGCTCAGGGCCTCTCTCAAGGTCACAAAGGGAATCAATTCTGATCCAAAAATCTGCTTTGGACAAACTCTCTATTAGTACTCTCCAGCAGTAATAGAGACAGTGGCCCCAGAGATGCTAGGAAGACTGCCAAAGATTGCTTGGGATTGCAGAAATAACACAGCAAAACATATATAGAAAATAACAGAAATAACACAGCAGGCATGACAGCTTCCAGGGCTATAAAGCAGAAAGGTCATAATGTAAAATCACTCTGAAGGAGACACTCCAACAGCAACCTGCAACAATGTAAACTACTGAAATCCCTGAAGCGATGGATATGTATTCTGCAGGGAGAAGCTAATTCCATCTGCAAGAATGAGGAAAGAAAAGACACAAGCATATTTTTACAACCTGTTTCATGTAGGTTCAGAGTATTTTAAACACCCAATTTAGGAAACTGCTTGTCTTTATTAATTCCTTTTATAAGGAACAAATGACAGTGAGGACAGAAGAGCGTGACTGAAGATTAAAGGAAAGGGAAGATGCAAGGATGCTGCGGACGGTGCAGTTACAGTAAGCAGGCCAATAAATGTTACCCACCTCCTCTCGATCCATGCTGTTGGCCAAGGTACAAGTGACCTCCGTATAGCAGCAACACATCTGCACACTGCCTGCAAACCTGCCCAGCTCAGTCCCATTGAGAAGGGTAACCACTGCAACAATTACATTTTCCCACCCCGCTCAGTGTTAGCAAAGCCTTTTTAAAGCCTGGTGAAAGTCAAAACGAATATGGACGTGAGGCAAAATATCAGAGGTTTTTAGTTTCCGCTGTTCCCTTCGGTCTCTGTAGCATGTGCCCATTCAAAGACCTCCCTCTGCAACGGTGGGTCCCAACATCTTCTGACTGAACCTCACTGTTGCTATCTTCTTCCCCTGCCTCTTCCTCCCTATCTGGTTTCTCCCAGTCAGTCAGAAGCCTTAAAGAGAGTCAGTGATTTAAACAAGTCTTGCCCCTGCCCCAGCAAGCATTTACAATACAGCCTCCCCATTGCTATGTCCTTGGGACGAATGGAGTAAATGAGGGATCAATGAGCCACCTGAACCTCAGTCCCATGGGATTTGCAGGGTACACAGTGCATATAGCAAAGAAAATCTATAGGGAAGGGAAGAAAAAAAGAAAAAAAAAAAAAGGACATCTCCTAAATGTCACAGGAACAAATTCATAAACCCAGAAAACATTTTTAAAATGTTCACGGACCAGTGAAATACCGGGTACAGATATAATCATTGCCTAATACTGTAATTCCAGGCACATGTGGAGAGAGCTGAAGCTGGCAGCCCAAATCCAGTCAAAGCAGCAGTCACCCTCCCTGCACCCCAGGCCACTCGCTCCTTCCCTCGTGTCACCCAGCTGGCTCTGGAGCAAGCATTTGTGCAGCAACAGAAAAGAAACCCGGTGAAAACTAATCCATCAAAACAAAATGAAGCCAGGCAAATTCTCCAACTGCAATTCAGTATGTGGCTACGCAAATTCTTGACAGGCACGGGAGGATGGAGGACAGTTGTGGGAAAAACAGCAAGGGTGAGAAGACGGGGTACTGTTTGTTTCAGCTTCAGTGCTGGTTTATTGACATAAATACAAGAGAAATGAAGTCTAAGAAAAGAGTTTAACCATACAGATGAGCCACTTCTCCCCCTTTCCTCTAGCATCTTACTTGTGGTTTTGCCAGCAGCTCAGCTGACCTTGTACCAAGCCAGCCCAGTTAACTGGCAGGAAAAACACTGATTTTCTACTGGTTTAGATTTCTGAGTAGCTCGACGCATGGTCAGTCAAATGCCGCTGTCAGCCAAAGGGAACTGCTGAGACTGTACAGCATCGTCCCTTTCAACAGCAGTCTATCACTGCATCAGTTTAGCTGTGCTGCCAGGCTACACCCTGCAAAAGCTTATAAAAAACTGCAGCAACAAAAACTGTTTCAAAAGGGCAGCCTCAAATCAGTTGGAACCAGGATAACATCAGTTAAGTGCTGTTTACAGTCTTTAACAAGCAAGATCTTCAAAGGAGGGGGCGGAAGCCATGGCAGATCATATATCTAGAAAGTAAACAATTTATCATGTAATTTTTTTGAAGTTACATACTCACTTAAAAGAATCTTCAGAGAAATCTTAGATCTGGTTAAATGAGTGAAAGAATTACAAGAGTTTCATTGGTTGAAAATTTTGGGTTTAAAAACAGGGACCACTTGTAAACAGTTGAGTCAGTGGCAGCTTCAGCTTCTCTTTCTCCTTCTCCCTGCTGCTTTTAATGACTGCAATCATCAGGCAGCACTTTTTGGCCTGACTGGCTTCCACCTTCACTGCAGACACCACTCCACACACTTCACATTATCTTAACAGACATGATTTATATCAGCTCAGCGAGAACAAAACCATGCTAACAAGAGATGTTTTGCAGTTTCAGGCCAGTCACTTCTGCGTGACCCAGGGTTTCTGAAACGTGACAAGGGAGACAAGCAAAGAGCGTGATGACCATAACGCTGCGGATGGTCTTTCAACATGTAATGTCGTACAATGGACTTTATTAGACTAGCATTCCACACAGGACAACAGTCACGTTTTCTGACCAGACTGGCAGAGTGACAGCTCCATGAAACAAGAGATGTGGTCTTGACCTTGCGAAGCACCCGCAGGGAATGGCCTGGGTGCCTCAGGACGCTGTAGGAGCCGGAGCCAACATTTAAGCGTCCTGTTCAGTCCCTCCAGTAAACAAACAGGACTGAAATGGTGAAGGCAAACACTGCATGGATCTTACTCCACAAGCAAACTTTACCCAAATTAAGTGGCAGCACACACTGTGGAATCACAGTGTCCAATTAATGCAATTGAAGTGCCAGTTAACACAAAACTAGAACCAGTCTGCCCTGTCAGAGGGGGCTCCCAGGCCTTTCAGGACACTGGAGATCACTGAGGCTGAAAGTCTTGATTTAGAGTCCATCTCTGCTGAGATGGAACCTTTCCTCCTCTGTCTCATATACCATGCAGCCTTTTCTAGGTGTAAATCTGCCCTTTAACGAGTAGTCAAATCAATCACTTT